GAGACTTTGTTGAATCCTTCGACCATATTTTTTTCAAAGGTTTGCTCAATGACTCTTGTGGTGTCGGAAACCAATATGATGGTTGGTTACCTACTTTAGGGATCATAATGACCTCAGTAAATTTTCTAGTAAAACCGTTGGTTGTCGTGGACTACAAGTCAAACCACTTTACAACACCTTTGTCCAAATTAATCTCACATAAAATTCCAAGGGCTATTCCGGGATTCGAACCAAGGCCACTATCATGGAAATCGATGCTTTTGTTCGGCTAAAACCAAAAGTCGTTTCGGGAGAGAAACAAAACTGTTTATTGTAAAATTTTATAATAAACTTAATCGAAATATTATGGTCTAGTTTATACATTATCCCAATTGACGAAAAAAAACACAGACTTAACCATGGAATATGGTGAAATGCGTCTGACAGGACTGCGAGGATGGGGGGCTGACCTTTATTTTCCCTTCTAGTTGAGGAAGGATCAAATCATAATTGATTTCATACGTCACAACAATTTTATACAAGAGCAGCTCTCGCTATTTAGCATTTGGACTAAAAACAGCAATTTAGAAAAGATTTACTATCTGGCTTATTTCCAATGGCTCGCTTCTCTAATTTGTCATTTTCCCTTTACAGCTCAAAATGTATCCTTTTATTTTAATCATTTGGTTCAAAAAAAGCTTAAAAATATACGGGTAAAAGTTGTTCCAAATGGATTTTGCGTTTACGACGAACCATCAATTTACGACATGTTTTGTAAGTTGTCGAATTCCTGGGCGACGCCGAGGAAAAAAACGGCGCCGCATCGTCCACAAATAGCTAATATCGTAAAAATCACCCTATGACGGACTAAGACGATCAAGCTACTATCCTGACCAAGTATCACTGGCGCCATGACGACACCAACTGCTGTTGTAAAAGTATTACTTAACAGCTACACTCGTTTAACGAGAACTGCTAATCGGCTCTTACACGGACAACCATCCACAAGGGTGGGCCATCTCAATGAACAGCATAAGCTGAGGCATGAATTACAGTCCACAGCTATATACCAAATATGCTAAATAAAGCCAGAAAGACTGGAAAAAGGACTTAAAGGCAATTCTTTCTAGTAAACTCAACTGATTAACCCCCATAGTCCCTGAAAGTCAATCAGCGCTCAATGCTTAACCTCATGAGGTCAAAATATGCCTGGAGTTGAATGTATCTTTGGCGGTAGACAGTGACAATTATGTCCTTTATGTTCCCGGGCACTCAGGACCCAGGGGTAATGATCAGAAAAATTATCGGTTATGTCAGTATAACTCTGAACCATGCTACGGCAACATGCCATAAAAAGGACACATTAAACATCTTAATCCAAATCCTAGCTCCTCAAACCAATGAATGAGATTGATAAAGGGTAAAGCTCAAAGAATCTGAAGGAATGATATCCTGATTGTACACTGCCGTGATGTAAGGACCAACACCAGATAATGACAGAAGAAAGGAAAAAAAGACGAACGACATTGTGATCTATTCTGAAGGTCTATCCATACGTGAATGAAATCCACAAGCAGTCTTCTAAACAAAGGAAACCACTAGCCAGGCTATAGACCCTAATAAACAGTCAGCTCTAATAAAAGTATAAGGGCACAACAGATAGGTCCAGGTTCTTCCATCCCTAGTTCTATCATCGAATAAATTGCTCAGTAACTTCTTGTTAAATCGCTGAATACATTTACCTTTTGGTATCTGTTTCAAAGGAGTAAACAAGAAGTTTCTTTTAACAAAAATCGAAATGTCGCCATGTTCGGGAGTTGGTTTGCATGTTATGTCGCAAGTTGGGCCACTTTTGTACGTTTGGTAAAGATGATCGAAACAATCAGGTTGGAAGAAGAATTCTCGCAATATGTCTGACAACTATATTCAGGATTATAAAATCAATTGGATTCTTTTTTTGTTTTGTCCAGTCAACTACAACACAGACTGCCCGTTCGTAAACATCTTCACGCCTTTGAAATAATTCTTTGCGGATAAATCCGTCCTTGGTGTTAGAGGCTATGTTTTCATAGGGAATAGAGAAGAGTGATATTTTGACTAAAACCGACGTGGGGTGAGACCCAAGAGAGGGTCTAAGGGACCCTCCAGGTCGTGATATTTATACGAAGGCTTTGGAGTTGCTTATTGACCTGTGTGATTCTCGAAGATTTACACCTCCGGCTCTTCTTTTTTGACTCTTCCCCGACGTTTATCCCTGATTGAAATAATTGAAGCGAGTGCTATAGGAAAAGACACGCGAATCCAAACATCAAAATGTTTCACAATGGAGAATAAAATCAGAAGGAATCAACCGTGGAAACTTTCTAAATTCGGTAGGCCATCCACCGTTGAATTGTACTGGGTTTGGTGATTTTAGCAGTTTGGATCTATGCTAAGAAGCTGTTAGTTGAAGTAGGAGTTTGTAAATAAAAGACGAATTCTGATTTTTTTTCAGCCTGGCACTTTTCCAGGCGATAAAAGCATAGTGGGCGATATTTAAAAAAATAAATTTCATCTCAACATTTTAAATTGTACCAAGTTATGAAATGGATTCGAGATGAATATTTCTCTATCCTTTAAATGCCTCTTTAGTCCTTTTTAGGTGGAAAGGCGCTATTCAGCCAGCCCTCTTAAGTGGTTTCGCTTATCTCGCTTATCTCGATGTGTGATCTCGAGTTTTCAAAAGCCGGGATTGAAAATTAGTTCTTAATTGCTTGTTTCTTAGCTCAACTGACGTATTTCCGAGTCGAAAATGTAATGAGCGGCAATCGGCCCTGTGCACCGCGAACGTTTCGAAACGGTCGATAAAATTATCTTTAGAGCAATACGTGTTTTTTTTTAATCTAAATTTACTAACTTATAAATAATATTAACTAATTCAAATACTTTTTTAAATTCCAAAAGTGCCCCTTTCCCGGAGATTCAATTTTAAATTTAAATTGGAATACATTGCCGAGTCCAGCGACGCGAAGAATCCAACACTTTTTGTAAAGGATGGATCTTACAGGTTGCTGTTTATAATTATACGGATTTCAAGCACTGGACGCACATCATCAGGTTGAGGAAGTTACATGAATCCAACGCGACGTTCCAATGAGAAGTTGGGTTTAAAAAAAATCAATCGCTCGCAGTATAAACAGGTCGTAAGCTGAACTATGCAAAGTTTATGATATCGCCTTTCTTTGCAATTTAAGGTTCTAATATCGCGGAACACTGGCAGTGTAGTACTGGTCGCAAAGCAATCCTTGCAAAGCCAATGACAGTTTTTCTTCTTGAGTTTTAAGCTTGTACTCGCACAGGATTTCTCGGAATCGCTCGTAGTGTAAACAAGTTAATTCTCGCAAAGTCAAAACCAGCTTCGATCTTTGCGATTTAAGTGTCTACTCGGGCGAAATCACTCGCAGTGTGAACAGATCGCACACAAAGCCTAAGATATCGCCTTTCTTTACAGTTTAAGCTTCCACACTCACGGAATCGCTGGCAGAGTCTACTAGTCGCAAGTTAATTCTTGCAAAGTCGATGACAGCTTTTCTTCTTGAGATTTAAGTTTTTACTCGAACAGAATTTCTCGCAATCGCTCGCAAGTAAATCTTCGCAAAGTCAAAACCAGCTTCTTTCTTTACAATTTCAGTTTTTACTCTCACAGGATCACTCGCAGAATAAACAGGCCGCAAGCTGATTCATGTAAAGTTACTGACAGCTTCTTTCTTTGAGATTTCAGTTTTTACTCTCACAGGATCACTCGCAGAATAAACAGGCCGCAAGCTGATTCATGTAAAGTTACTGACAGCTTCTTTCTTTGAGATTTCAGCTTTTACTCTCACCTCATGTAAAGTTACTGACAGCTTCTTTCTTTGCGATTTCAGTTTTTACTCTCACAGGATCACTCGCAGAATAAACAGGCCGCAAGCTGATTCATGTAAAGTTACTGACAACTTCTTTCTTTGCGATTTTAACTTCGTCCCACAGGAAATCGCGGACAGTGTAAACAGGTCGCAAGTTGATCCATGCAAAATCAAAAACAGCTTTTATTCTGCAGTTTTAGCTTCTACTCTCGCGGATTGTCACAGTGTAACCAGGCTGCATTCTGGTTCATCCATATTCAATGACAGTAACTTTCTTAGCGATTTAAGAATCTACACTCGATATGAGTTAATAGGTCGCATGCTGGTCTACGCAAAGTCAATCACAGCTAATTTCTATCTTACGTCCTATGCAGAGTTAATGACAACTTCTTTCTTTGAGACTGAAGCTTCTACTAGCTCGGAATCGCACGAAAACGCCCCCAAGGAAAAGTAGCATGTAAGCAAATCCATGCAAAGTAAATGCCAGCTCTTTCCTTGTTGATTTAAGCTTCTTCTCTCGCACGGAATCCTTGCTGCATAAACAGATCGCACACTGGTCTATGCAAACTCAAAAACAGCTTCTGGCTTTGCGATTTCTGCTTCTACAATCAATGAATCACACGAAGTAGTATCTGCAAGCATTTAGTCGATAGGTGGACGATTTTGCACTAAACACACATTCACGCTTATAAATACATTCTCACGTAACTGTTCTAATATACACATTAATATAATTAACTACAATTAACAAATCTATAAACCGTGTTTATTACGAAAAATCGGACCTGGACACAAAGCTGCTGTAAGTACTCGAGTACAGTCATATCGTTTATTTAAAACTAATTTTCATGCAACTTTCTTACGTTCTTTTTAATTCAGAGCTTTTTATTATGACCAGCTTTTCATGGATCATAAGAACTGATATTAATTGAAAAACGTCGGAAAACAGGGCGAAACGAAGAGACTTTAATAGGGGTAAGTAATAGAAGATGCATCGATGTTAAAATTAAAGTCATATCGCAGAATTTATTAAGAAATGCGTGAACATTATTGATAAGGTTTATGTCTGTTTATTTAATTTTGTAACGAACTTTTTACATTGTCGTCGGAAGAATTGGATTTCTGTCGATCTGATAGGCGATCCGATGTAGATTTTCATTTAAAATTCAGATCGCCGTCAGAGATGAAAGGGTTGAAAAGTAGTGGTGCTTCTGCCGTTTGGTGGGGATGATTTTATACCAAGGTGGGGATTGAAGGTGGGGAGTTTTTACTCACCTGGTCCAGTACCAGATAGATAGGGCACCTTACTACCTCAAGTTAGCAGGTGGCTCGTCGTTAACAGTGCCAAGGTGTGATCAAGTGCCACGTTTGTGACCCGTGGACCCCGTCGGCCGTACTTTACATGACTACATGATTTTTTTGACACCTGCATTTCTCGACTCACTCTCCTGATGTGTATGTGCAAGTGTTGTGAAAATACTCAGTGACGACGAAAACGAAATTTTGGCTAAGGAAGGACCTTCCCGTCCAGTCCTGTTACAATCGAACAAGGTAAATTGTACAATATGCGGAAAATTTGCCGGCTTTTTAAGCCGGCGGTCGCAGTCCTGAGAGGCAATCTTGGAACACTCCCCGTCTCTACCGACGTTCAAATCACCTTATCAGAAATCTCCGCGTCTTTGGCGTAGGACTGTGATAAATCAAGTCTGAGGCACATCCTTCTCACCGGCTTTTTCACATTATCATGGAACTGTGATAACAATTTACTTTTAGACACGTTCCAAAAAAAGCCCACCCCTACGCGAAACTCACGCCCAACTGATCAAACAAACCCAGAACTGTTGAGAACCTCAACGGAAATCCTTTGCGTGTCTTGTCCGGAGTGGAAGAAAGGCCGCCGACAGTAGCTGCTAAGTAGCCGCCTTCAGCGCGTGCCGTGAAAAAATTAACATTTATGAATTGTAAATAATTCAAGAGATTCGAGGAGCTCGAGTCGGCCTCTTAAAAAAAACGAAGTCTGTTAACTCGGATTAACCGAATTCTAAATTAACACGCGTCTCGTTCGGCAAATGATGACTTTTTGATTTATTTTACCTCACCCGGTTAAAAGGAAGAAAATCAACCCTTCTCCCAACATTGACAAAACGGCCAAATAAATTCGTCACACGTGGGAGAAATTCGGAAAAAATATTTTCCCAAATAGGCAAACCTAAACCGATTCAAAACAGTCAATTTTACATAAAAACATGTTTAGCACGCTGAAATCGTTATCAGTTCATACATAGTTGATATACATTTTCCCATTTTTTCACAGGCTGTTTCTTTTTCCAAAACAAATTATTACAGAAAAAAAAACCTATTTAAGTTATTTACCGGTCGATAAATATTAATTAATTTAATTCTGCATAAATTTAAATTTTTCGCAATATGGTTTTCCCTCCTAAATAATTTATTTTCTTTGCATAGCAAGCGTTCAATTCTTTTTCGATTAGAAGGGTATAAATTTTAACAATATTTTTTACCATCGATCTGGCAAAATATTATTAATCATTTAATATATTAACCAACATATTTATATTTATAGTTATTTTTATTGTATGCCATAAATAAATGGGTTCAAAAGGTAAATTGTAAATTCAAATGGACTATCGTAATAAATAATTCCTTCGTTATTGAACATAACTAGAGGATTTTTTAATCGAAAATCGGTTTTTAAAGTTAAAATAAAAATATAAATAAATTAAACCTAACCGTAATAAATTAGTTATTTGCTGATTTATGTAACACTAACCCACTGTACAATTTCTGATATTAAAAAAAAATCGTTTGCCCATTAAAACGATTCTTCCGGCCTGAGACCGTCGTTTAATTTAAGTTTTACACCAATGTTTTCATTATTTGGAGTTTTTTCATCTAATTATTTAATACATTAACTAACTAACATATTTATATTATATATAGTAATGTTATTGTATACAATAACTCAGTAAATGGTAAATTCGAGTGGACGATCGTAATAAAATATTCCTTTATTATGGAATATAAATAGGACGGGATTTTTAATCGACAATTGGTTTTTAAAGTTAAAAGAAAAATACAAATAATAATAATAAATTAAGTGAAGTGGTTATGTGCTGATTTATGTAACATTTGCAACTAACCCCATGTTCGAATTTCTGATATTTTTAATCTTTCGCCCTTACAACCTTTTTTCCTGTGTTTATAAGTAGTTTTACAGAACAGTTTTTATTATTTATAGTTTTTTTAATTAAGTATGTAATACAATTTCCCAGCTATAATGTGGTCGAACATGGAATACTGAAACAAGTGCAAACCTTGTTAGAATGAATTTTTCCTTAGGGTTTTTTTTTTATACAATTTAGAATTTGAATGTATCCGTGTAATATTACAGAAAAAAGCAGTCTTTTTTGAGAAAGAAAACAGGAAAAGTCAATAAATCAAACTTGAATATAAACTTTTGAAAAACCTCTTTAAAAAAATTAAAAAAATCGAAACCAAACTTTACTGTAAACCTTTTGAAAAACAAACTTAAAAAAACTATAAATCAAACTGTATTATACACTTTTTGAAAAAACCAGACTTTTTTATGGAAGAAAAAAATAAAAAGTCTAAATCAAATTTTATTATAAATCTTCCTGGTTTTTTTGTCGGGATCATCCTTGTTGTAGAATATCCTTGTGATACTCTTTAGTATAATATTATTTTTGGAAATAAAATGCAATGTTTATTAAGAAAAAATATTGTTTTATATTCGGGTGGGGGGGGGTGAGTTCTGATTTAGAGAATTGCTTTCAGACACAGGAGACGCAAGACGGCCGTTATTTTTGGCGATAAGTCGCACGATTTGTTCATCTCTCAATCCTCAAATAACCGATAGAAATAATGAGATAATCTTATCAAAGAAAACGTTCGGTGGAAAATTCGTGCGGTTGTTTTGCGCGTTATTCCATCTGATCTATTTCTCGAATAAGCTTCGAGATTTCGATTAGACGAGAAAGGAATTCGAAGAGGCTTGTTTGCCAGAAGTCTGATTTCTTACTTTTATTTTTAAGGCCCAGAAGCCACTCCCTCAAATTGATCGGACCTTTGGCTCGACGGCTCCTTTTCATAATGGATTCGAGCCGGGGGAAAAATATCAAAGAAGGTCGCCGTTTCTATCTTATTTATTATACTTGGCCGTGTTTGTTTTGTTTTTGTTTTTAATTAATATTCCACGTTGTTGATCCAAATTATGCTAAACGCTCCGAAATCTCAGGAAAGTTTTCAACGGCGGAATTCTTGTGCGAGATTTGAACCAAAACGGCACTCCTGGCGTTTTAATTATTTCAATATATAAAATCTCACGTATTTTTTTATGTAATGTAAATACATGCTATTTTGGAGGAAAACGTTCGTCCAATTCTTCGCCATTTCGTCTAATCTGTTGAAATACATGGCCAACGGTTTTTTATAGGAGAATCTTTGTCCATTTTCAAACTTGAAAAGACAGGCAGTAAGCACTAGATTTATATTTTAATTATACTTTTTATAAATAAAGTCCCTGCATTTTCAGAAAAACACATGCCTGACAATCCGGATTCATCTTTTTTCAGAAAAATTATCCGTCTTGGGCCAGGGTTAAATCGGTAGCCCTGGTTTGAATGAACCTCGTATATCCTTAAGATTCACGGTTATATTGAAAAAAAAAATTTTTTAATTTGATTTAAACACATGCTCATGTGTAGGTAAAAATATCGCCAAATCCTTCAAGTTTTGTCCAGACGGTTGAAATACATGGCCTGGTATTTTTATAGGAGAATCTTTGTCCATTTTTCAAATTAAAAAGACAGAAGTATTAACTAATAAATTTATATTATAATTCTACTCTTCATAAATAAAGTCCGTGCATTTTCAGAAAAACACACGCCTGACAATCCGGATTCATCTTTTTTCAGAAAAATTATCCGTCTTGGGCCAGGGCTAAATCGGTAGCCCTGGTTTGAATTTCCCTCGTATATCCTTGAGATTCACGGTTATAAGAAAAATATATTTATTTATTTTTTATTTTATTTAAATACATATTCATGTGGGGGTAAATATTTCGCGGAGTCCTTCGAGTTTTGCCCAATCGGTTGAAACACATGGCCAACGGTTTTTATGATTTGCCTTCGTCCATTGTCCAACACAAACACACAACGCGGTTTTTATAATAGTATCTTCGTTAATTTTCCAACATAAAAATGCACAAACATTAACTAACATTTATACTCTATGTTTTGATAAACCAAAATCGCGCAATTTTCAAAAAAATCTCATGACTGACAATACAGATTCTTCTTTTTTCAGAAAAATCATCCGTCTTGTGCCAGGGTTAAATTAGTATATCTAGTTTCAATTTCCCTTGTATATTCTTCAGATTCACGGTTATATAGAAAATATATTTATTTATTTTTTATTTGATTTAAATACATGCTCATTTGGGGGTAAATATTTTGCCAAATCCTTCGAGTTTGGTCCTATCGTTTGAAACACCATGGCCAACGGTTTTTATAATAGTATAATAGTTCATTTTCCAACATAAAAATACAGAAACATTAACTAACATTTATACTATATATTGCATTACACTTTTCATAAATAAAATTCGTGCATTTGTTGAAAAAGCATGCCTGACAATAATGACTATTTTTTTTTCTTCAGAAAAATCGTTTGTCTTGTGCCAGGGTTAAACCCGAAGGCTCGGTTTGAATTTCACTCGGATATTGTTGAGAATCACTGTTATATTGAAAATGTATTGTGTATTTTTTATTTAATTTAAAAATACGTGACGTTGTTGTGGAAAAATTTCGTCCATCCTTTAAGTTTTGTCCAATCGGTTGAAACACTTCGTCAACGGTAATTGTCTAAAAATCTGTCTCTATTTTCCAACTTAAAAGAGCAGAAACATTAATTACAAAATTTATACTAAAATATTATTTTTCGTAAATAAAATCGGTGTATTTACCCAAAAAATGTCAAACTTAACAGATCCGTCTTCTACCGAAAAATTTTTCTTGTCTTGAGCCAGGGTTAAACCTGTAGTTCTGGTCTGAATTTCTCTCGTACATATTTGATTATCGTTGTTATTTGATGTACTGCTTCATTAATACTTTTAACGCTGACAGATATTTTTTTCTCATTTTAATTTATAAAAATGCCAGTACATTCCGTGGCGCGGTTCACTAATCTCTTTGTTTTTATTATTTTTCGACGAATTAACATTGATTTTTATAATAAATACATTTTTTGGAACAATAACGCGACGTTTCCTTATTATTTCTATTTCTGTTGAATTTCTATTTTCGGCGACACTCCCCTGCCTCGCACTATTCAGCTTTCCTGTTTTTATAATTATTGCACACTGAAGCCGAAGTGTTTTACATTAATGACATAATAATAATGAAAACATTGAGACCGAAGAGTCCCTCAAAAATTGATTACCTACTGAAATAAAAAGACAACGAAACTATTCTGCCTAAAAATAGCGTTAAAAAATTTATTATTTTTTTGTG